AAAAACCCGCTAGGCCCGCGAAGCCCACGAGCCCGGCCCGTTAAGCACAGGACCATGTGGGCTTAGGCCCGTCACGGGCCGGTTCCACCCATTAGGCCCACGAAGACCGGGACCGCCAGGCCCGGGACCGCCAGAGCCCGGGACCACGAAGCCCGGGACCGCGAGGCCCGGCCCGTTAGGCCCACTAAGGCCCGGGCCCGGGACAAAATACAGCCCTAGGTGGTACTCATGGTTTTTTCCTTCTCTATCCTTTATTTTTAGAATTTAAAAACAATTACCATTTGTTAAATAGTTATTCAAACTAAATGTACGTAAATGAATTTCAGTAATGTCTAGAACAAGCTGCTTGTATATTCACAAATTAGAGGAATAAAGCCAATGTTCTTAAGTTAAAGTGAGTAAAGTTAAATTTTTTGGAGCATGTATTAATGTAAATTCAAAGGGATTATCAGGCAGATTGTGAAATGTGATTCATAATTTGATAAGTTGGCACATTTGCAAACGTCTCTTGTGTTTTGACTTAGATTTAAGCCTCATTTATAAGATACTAATAGAACTTTGTTAATATTTATGATCTCTACTGTCTGGATTCTTTTCTCAGTAATATTTCTAGTTGATAATTAAAAATTAATAATTATCAAAAACTATGAAGTGTCAATATAAAGTTATTTATTTTGTGATAACATATATATACCGTGAAATTAGTTGATAAATAATAAATTGATTTAGCCATTATTATTATAAAAACAAAAAATTTAATATTACCCATTCGGCGCATTTACAAGCTAGTCCAATGTACAGTATATGAAATGACATATAAGACCCACGCCATGTACTGTGGATATAAATGCTTTGGTCAAATCATAATCTTTTCTTCTGCCAATACCTATGGCTACTGTGCCCCTTTGTGGTCTATACTCTGTCTCTCTGACTATTAGGGTTTCACCCCTCTACTCTACTCTCTGCAAAAAGATTTATTACTTTTAATATTTTCTTTTATTTTTATATAAGTAAGAGGGTGTTCGGTTAAGTTTATAAGCTCGTCAAACTAGCTTATAAGCATTTATCGGTATATTTACGCGTTTGGTAAAGTTAAAAGTGTTTATAAGTCAAGTGCTTATAAGTCAAAAATAAATCATAAGTCGGTCACCCTCAGCTTATAAATTTTTAGCTTATAAGCACTTTAAATTTGATCAAAAATTTTACTATTTTATCCTTAAAATATTTTTTTTTAGAACAAAACTCTTACATGGATACTCACTGACTCAAGTACTATTTCAACCTAAACCCCCCTCCCCCGCCTCTTCAAGCCTACAATGCTCATTGACTATTTAAGATAAGCAAATTATTTATTCCTTTGCATATTTATATCTATTGATTGTGTATTAATCTTTGAATTGTATGTAATAAATGAGGACGTGTGTTGCTTTCTAAGTGTTGTGGTGATAAACACAGTGTTTGTTTCTCTTCAAATATTTTGTCCTATTTAGGTTTATTTTTTATTGAAAATTTTTTATCAATTTATTAATTATTATAACTTATGATTATATACTTAGCATAAAATAAATTATATTTATCATAAAAGTTATCTTATCTAAGCACAGTTGTATTTTAAAAAAATGACAAATAGAATATTTTGTATTTGGATCGATTTGGAATTTAAAATTTTGAAGAAATTACGTCCTTATAAGTGTAAACACTTCTAAGGTTATTTAAGTCATTTTAACAAAAAAGGAATTTATCGGCATTTTTTTTATCAAATATTGCAGCAACTTATTATCAATTTCAGCACTTGTAATCAAACATGTAACTGCTTATTTATTAAATCAGTTTCAACACTTAAAAATATTTTTCAGCACTAAATGCTTATCAGCTAGTTTAAATCAGTTAATCCTAACGGGCTCAAAATTATAAAGAGTTTGAAATAAGTTGAAAATTACTTAAAACGAACCAAAAATAACAGTCAAATCTTTAAGACCATCCAAATGGGCTTTAAATCTTTGTTTTTTGTCCTTGTAGTTTACTTCTTTTTTTCTTCATTTGTGAGAATCTGTATCAATCTTTTCGTTGTTTTAACTGATGGCTAGTAAGGTAGCAAGTGAATGGATGATCCCCCTATGAGATCAATTCACACTAGTCATCTAATATTTGTGTCAGTATTAGGATTAATTTCTTGAATCTTTGCTCCTGCTCCAGTCTAGGAAATGTAACATTTTGAAAATGACTAGCAAATCACCTACATGACTAAATTGTTATGCTAGTCTTTTAACCATTTGATTGTTTAACCTAAACTTTAGCTCCCGGTTGGTCATATACTTTTGGCTATTTAAAAAAAAAATTAAAAATATTGTATATTCATGGAATATGATCAATTTTAAAAAAAAATTGAAGAGAAATTTCGAGTTTTCAAAAACTTATGTAGGACAGTTCTTGGGTAAAAACAATTCGCTAGCGTTTGGATATAGATTTTGTCAAAACTTGATAAAATAGTTTTTGAAGTTATGGTGAAAATAACTTTTGGAAGTTGAAGTTGTGTTTGATATGCATTTAATTTGAAAAAGAGTTAAATTTTTGTGAGTGAAAGAAAATTTTCACCCAAAAACTGCAACTTGAAATTGAATCAAAAGTGATCATATTTCATGAACAAACAATATTTTCAAAAAAGAATAGCCAAAATCTATGGCCAAACGGGAGCTTCTTCCTCTCACAAAACTTTAACTTTTTTTCCAAATGAAATTATATACAAACACAACTTCAACTTTCAAAAATTATTTTTCAGCATAACTTCAAAAACTTCTTTTTCAAATTTCAACCAAATTTATGTTCAAACACTAGCTTAATTTTAAGTCAAACGAATTAAATATATAATAGACCTCAAGGAATTAAATTAAAGCTAAGTGTTTTTCTTTCCAAGAATAATAATAACAAGAATGAAATAAAGTAAACAAAATAATAAATAAGATAGGGAGGAAAAGGAATTCTTATCGATATTGATCATATGAGCAAAGATGAATGAGCCAATATGAGTGCCAATTCGTTACAATGATCTTTTAGTAGTCATCCTTCAATGGGTACAATTGGATGAATGAGAGTTTATTTAAAGTTAAACTTTAATGTAATAGCTCCCTATAACTAGCATATTACGAGTATTATTTGATCGATCCATACGTTATATTTGGTGATTTTTTAACCACCTAGGATTCAAATGTCGAATTTCGAGTATCTCGTGATTTGCTCACCTGAAGATTGGTGTACCCGAATACTCATAGACTCTTTGGTGAGGTTGCTATGAACCGGAACCATTTATCTCCGGTAATTATTGGTCCAAAACGTGCCTTTTCGTGGCTATCCAGACGCTAACCTGAATAAAACGGTTACTTACAGGTGTCGACTCAGAGTTTTTTGCTACATGTCATCTACTTCTGCATTCACGTGTCCTATTCGTATTTTACCAATACATCAGTCTTTAAAAATTATTTAATTCGATTAATCTAAATTTGCACCAAATAAGTCATTAAACGAGTAAAAATACTATATATTAAAAAGTTTTTTTTATAAAAAATGAATTTTGTCCCATCCTCCCTCATTGAATAAGAGTTTATACGCAAGGAATAAAAAGCTTCATGAGGTTAACAGAGCTAAGTTCCAACTAGTAATGATTAAAAAAAAAAAAAAGAAAAAAAAAGAAGGTAAAATAACCCTATGGATAGATTGAACCTTCCGCAATAGTAATGCATTCTTCCCCCAACTTTCTAACATATGAGAGCTCGAGATATCAAATAATATTTAAAGCCTCAATGCTTCGTCAAAGTATCACGGGTAGAGAGTTATTTTATTCTAATGTCATTATTCATTTTAATGGGTTGTTTGGTTGGGAACAAATTACTCTAGGATTAAAATGATATAACTATAATACGAGAACTAAATAACGATTAAATTATTTAATAAATATATTTATATTAGAAGATGTTTGGTTTATTGGACTAAAATGAGATATACATGGTATAACATAAATATGTGTTTAGTGTATACTAGATAAGTTGGGACAA